ACCATATCCGTGTGCCAACACATTTTTTTATGGTGGGTACAAATAAGTACAAATGTTATTCAATATATCTATTATTTTGATTCTTCTCTAAAATATTGTTGAATCTAACTTTGTAACATGTAAATTCAGAACATACAGTAGAACGTTGATAAATTAATACCCGATAAATTAATAATTTTCCTTAAATTTTTCCCGATCACGATTTGGGGACAACATGCGAAATTAATAATTCGTTAAATTTATAAGATAATACACCTTCGAAAATTTTAAGAAACCCCATATAATATATAAATTAATAATGCATAAAAATAATTCTTAAATTACATAGTACAATACACATTTTACAGATCTATAAAGGCTTAGTAAAATATATGATTTAATGAATAATATATACGTAAAAAAAATAGGATTTTGATAAGTTATTAATTAATGTATAAAAACTATACTAATTAATGTATAAAGGGATCTATAGTACATCGAATTAATGTATAAATTAATAATTATTAATTTATTGATAAGTTAATATTCGCTAAATAAATAGGATTTTGATAGTCTCAATTGTATTAATTTATAGATGTTTAACTGTATTATAAAACGGTCGATGATCAACCGTCAACGATCTAAAGAAAAGGGAATTCTTTTATTGAACACCAGTAAAATATATATATATATATATATTTAATAATAATAAAGAGCATTTCATTTGTTCAATGCCACTTTTATTAATCATTGACTTTTTTTCCAAATGTTGATAGCATTTGAAATTGCTTTCTTCACCATCTGGGCGTTGATGCTTTCTTCTTCTTCATCCTAAGTAATTTAAAAATAAGCAGCGGTTCATCATGAATATTTATCTTATTTAATATATTATGGCCTCGTTTAGTTTGGGAGATTAACTAAATAATTTAGCTTTGTTTGATGTTTGTTATTCCCAATAATTTGTCGGGTCGACCCGCTAATATTATGTTATCATGATTTATCTTGCATTCTAGGCATGTTTTTTTTATTAGATCTTTTAAGGTCCAATAATACAATTGAGTTTTGTTAGATTATTTAATCTTATCTTGGTTAATCTAATCCTGTCAACCAAACGAGGCATATATATATTTTTCATGTCACAGTACTCCTTGATAAGTTGATCTTTAAAATAATATTCGATGGCCTCGTTTGGTCGCCAAAATAAGATTAAATAATCTAATAAAACTCAATTATACTATTGGACCTCCGATGATCCGATAGAAAACATGTCTAGCTAGAAGGAAAGATAAGGCATGATAACATAGTATTTTCGTGTCGACACGCAAGTTATTGGGTATACCAAACATTAAACAAATTCCAATTATTTAGTTAATCATGGCTAATCTCCCCAACCAAACGAGGCCACAATATATTTAATATAATATAGAGTAATAAATAAATATAGACTGAATTAAATAAACATATTTTTATTATTATTATTTTCAAAAATATATATTAATTAATTAATTGAGGAATTAATGTTTTTTGGTTTCTTACCTGTGCACCAAATGCTTGTAAAAGGAAGGTGTATGAACAAGAAACCCTAGCTTGAACCACATTTAATCCAACCTCCTCAAACGTTTCCAATACCGAAACCAGCAAACCTGGGCAACTTTTCCTCGAATCCACATTCACCAAAAAACCTCTTTCTAGGGTTCCAATAATCTAATAATTATTGGAACATAAAAAAATGAGAAGTAACTAAAAATTTAAATTATTGGAAAAATTTAAAAAAGTAATACATGTTGTATAATAATGAATGGAAATATAATTTACGAAATTAATGAACTAAAATATACTTGAATACTTAAGATTACTATTATTTATGTATTGATTTCTTAAAATTTATCGATATAAATATATTTGATTACTTGTTCAAAAGACAATTAGATGTTATTTATTAAATATGTACCCACCACAAGATAATATTTTTAAATTTTTAAATATTGCATTTTTCAATAGATATTTTATTTGTATAATTTAATTATTCTTTTAGTTATTTCTTTAAATGAAAAAGAAATTTTTAATGTATTAGGATTTAAAGTACAAATTAAATTGAGTTTGATGGAGGTAAGTGTTACAAATGATACTTTATGGAGTAAGTGTTACATAGGGGGTGTAAACTGTATTTAACCCTTTTAAATGCACAATTTGACAAAACCCACTCCTAATTTCAGTCATCCATTTTTTCAATTATGCCCCTACCACCTCATCAGCACTATGCCGCCCATCAGCCGTTTTTTTTTTTTTTTTTTTTTCATTTTTTAACTTCTTTTTTTTCGATCAAGTATATTAATCGACTATGATGAAGCACAGTAGATTAATGAAATGACTACTAAAAAAAACACAGCTAAATAAAAACGAAAATCAACATTTTTTTTAACAAAACAAATAATATACAAAAATTATAATTGATTTATACAAATCGGGATCAATACAAAAAAATCCAAAAATGTATTAAAAAATGAAATCTAGTAACCTAAATCGACTACCAAAACAGTCAATTAACACTTTAATCGACTACTGGAGCATAGTCGATCAAGTTAATCGACTACCAAAACACGTAGTCGATTAAGAGTTCAGTCTGCGCGAATTTCTCTACATGCGATGTCTTCCGCCCGATCAACCCAAAAAATCCTAGATCTGCTCCTCATCGTCACCACGCCGCCGCCACATCACACCATCACCACCCCACTTCTATATATTCCGCCGGTTATTTATTACAAATAAAGTAAATCACAACCCGCACCACCAATCCAAACAGAACCACCACCATCAAAACCACCCAAACAAAGTCACCCAAAATGAGGCAGCAAAATTGTATTAAAAATCCATAACCTGCCCTTTGTTAGTCATTGATTAAAATCGATGGTGGTCAATACAAGAAAAATCAAGGACGCAACAGCGGCGGCGAAGAAGAAATCTTTTCAAACTCGAGAAACTGTGGGTAAGGAGAATGCTACTTGGGGTATTCGTGAGCACGGGATCATCCGCCACGTCGTCGCCGTAGTCTCCCCCGTGGATTTTCGGAAGTTGTTCGTGATTTAGGCCATGGTTGTGATGGAGAGTGGAGAGAGAGGTTTGAGATCTGAATATTAAAAAGAGAAGCGGGAGAAACGACGTTGGAAAGGTGATAAATAATTAAGGTTGAAATAATTATAATCAAATAAGGGTAGTTTTGGTATTATGAAAATATAATTTAAGTGAAATATTAGCTAATGGGATTTTCTCTAATTACTTTTATGAGGGGTTCTTGCTAAATTTTCTTTAATTTTTTTATAAATACATCATTAGGATTTTTTAGACTGCCCTACTGTTGCTTACTTATATGGGATAATTTGACAAACCCCCCTCATTAGACTCCTCCAATTACAATGAGTCCAATTTTTTTTTATTTTTTTAAGTTAAATCCGAAGTATTTAAAATTAATTAAAGTAAGTATACTTTGACAATTAAAACCTTTCTTTATATTTTATATTTTATACTCAATTTTTCTCTATTTCTCTGTTATGTCCCACACCCAAACTCTAGATTTGCCGCTCTTCCTATCTACTTTCTTCCTTTTCTACACAAATCACACCCACGCTGCCCCGCTGCCACCATCACGGCAAACAATGGTCGGTGAAGCAAGTGACGAAATCCAACTTCTCGGAAACCTTTTGTTGTCATCTGATTTGCAAGGAATCGGTGCCAATGAATGAGAACCATCAAATGGAAGGCAGTTGGCTGGATTATTTGAAGTACTCAAACGTAAACCCGAGGGGCAGGAGCATGCGGGACTATTTAGGGAAACGCCATTAGTACATAAACCAATCTTCCCACAAACGAATGGAATTCGACATTTATCGATAGGCCAAACAAACTCGTGTTTTTGTGCAGTCCCCCATTTATCAAGAAGTCAAAATTGTAATTACAAAGTGGTTTTCATTAATTACAGGATTTTCGTAATGGAATCGTAAATTATACATTAGTTTTCGTTAATTATATAGTGATTTTCATTAATTACAGAGTGATTTTTATTAATAGATAATTTTTTAGTGAATTTTTGTAGTGGAATTTGTTAATTACAATTCACATAGTGATTTTCGTTAATTACGGAGTGGCTTTCATCAAGTACATAGTGAATGACGTTAATATTAATGTGGATTATGCGTATTTAATAGTAATTTTTACTTTAATTTTATAGTGGTTTTCGAGAAATTTATTGGTTTTCGATGTATATGTAGTGGATTTCAATTTTTTTTAAAATTTGAACCATTTAAAAAAGTGAAATAAAAAAAAACCATTTTAAATTTTTTAAATTGATATAAAATAAAAAAAACTATTTAAAAAATTAAAAAAAAAATAATAAAACTTAAACCGAAATGGCTTGGTAGGGGAAATAATTGGGAATGGTTTGGGGAAAAAATATGAAAATTTGTATATCTACTAAAAAGATAATAGATTTTTCAAAATAATATAATATGATAATTTTTAATAATATTAAGTAGGGGCATTTTGGATAATTCCAATTAATTGGGTTTATAACAAGTATCAATTAAAAAAAAATGGTTTTATCAAGAAGCAAAAATTGAATGAGTGGTTTTTGTCGTATAGCCCCTACTTATATATATAAGAATTATTATTATTATGGCCAAGGGATGGGGGCCCTGGGGGCGAGGGATTTCGCCTTTTGGTGCAAGAATTATTATTATTATCTAATTTTCAATTTTTTCGATATAGAATTAGGAGTTTTATTTACCATTTATTCATACTTGCAGCAAAGCATCTTTTTCCTTTCAGTAAGCGCAAAATCAACGTGAACACACGCGCACGCAGCTTTGCCCCTTTTCAATCTCACCCATTTTCCCGCCATCCCACACTACAAATCTTCTTCTGGAATCCTCTTTCTCCCTTCTTCTCAAACCCCTCTTAACCCCACCAATACATACAATCCAGTTTTGTACATCTATCTATATATATATATATATATATATATATATATACGCGCGCACACATTTAACACACACTCGTATAACAGCAGCAGGCATTGATATTGATTTTGGTTGCGAGTGAAAAATGGGGAGTCGGAAGAGGAAAACCTTGTCGGACCTCACAAACACCTACAATCTGATACCCACCTCCATTCTCCGCAAGCTCGTCGCCGCCACCGCCACCGCCGCCTCTGATTCCAATTCCTTTTCGAAACCCCTGATTTCGGCTTTCAATTCCAATTCAAATTCCGCCAACCAGAAATCACGCCCCGAATCCTCCAATAGATCCGACAGCAGTATCGGGTCGTCCAATATTAGCGTCACCGGGAATTCGAGAACCGTTCAATTTCGAACCCCTCCTCCTGCAGTCTCTTCGGTTACTTCCCTAGGTAATTAATTTCATGGGTTTCTGTTCCTTTTTCATTTTTTTTTTCATTTTTTTTTTTATTTTTGCTGTGCGCTCATGTGTTTAATTGTGGGCTCCTCTTTGTATTTAGTTTTTATGTATGTATTTTTTGATTTTCATGTAGTGGCTACTGGTGTTGTGTGCTAATCCCGATTTTTGCGTTCATGTAGTGGCTACTGGGGTTTGAGTGTGTTTATATGGTGCTTAATTGAGTAGTTTTGTTGGTATCTAGGAACTGAATCTCGATCTTGTCACTGTAATTGGAAGTTTTATTTGCTAATTCATGAGTGCAGAACTCAAAATTTCTCGTGATGTTTTGTTAAGAACAGTGTTCTTTTCTGTAAGATTGTGTTAATGTATGTGTTATGGAAATTTTGATCAGTTCTTTCGAAGTTTCAACGGATTTGGGGTTTTTTTAGATGACATAATTCTGAATCTCGACGTATAATTTTGTTTCAGAAATAGGAATATACCTGCGTGTTCTCAATTTGATCCGCTTCAGTCTGCTTAGTTTGTTTCAGTTATAATTTAAGTGTGATATCGGTACTTGTTCATGTTTGTAGTTCTAAATTTAAAGCATGCGTATATTAATATATGCTAATGGATTGCAAACAATTAATTTATATATGGGGTTATACTGAAGGTGGTGTAGGAAGTAAGGATGTAGCACATAACAAAAGACAGATCACTGAAAAATCCAAGAAAAGAAAAGAAGTTGACCTTACGATTATTAGCAGTCCCACATCTGTTGAGAAGAGGAAGAATAAAGGGAAGGCGATTGCTGTACCATTTAATTCATCTCTTCCTCAGAAGTTGGAGAGTAATCAGAATGAAGATAAGAATCGTGCTAGTCTGCTTAAGAGGAAAAAACACAAAGTCGACCCAAATCTCAGTCTCTGTGGTGCTCCTGTTGATATGATGAAAGATTCTGACAAGGGAATTTTTGGTTCTTATGATGGCACGTACGGAAAAACAGCGAAAGGGAAGGGAATGCTTAAATCTTCTGTTTGTGGATTGGGAAAACAAAGTGGTATGTTGGAGGGTGATTTGAGCTGCTCAATTGAGAAAACTTATGATAGGAAGAAAGGTATTCTGAAGGGTTCTGGATCTTCCACTCTGAAAATAAAAGATGTAGAGAAGGAATTTGTCAGTCCTTCTAGCTTCTTAGTTGAGAGAACAAAGGCGAAAGGGAAGCCTCTGAACCCTTTTAACTACTCCTATGAAAAAGCAAAGGAGAAAGGGAAGGCAATTCTCGAAACTTCTGATATTGTTGCTGGGACAATTGTTTGCCACCCTCCAAGGAAAAGGACTGAGAAGTGGAAGAATGATCCTGGGGCTTCTTCTAGTAGTTGCCCCCCTAAGACGAGAACCAACAATATACAGTAACTCTCTCTCTCTCTCTCTCTCTCTCTCTCTCTCTCTCAACCATCAGTGCATGGTGATAATTCTTTTTAGGAAAATTGGAGTTTACAGATGCTTTCCTGATTTGATATCCTTTTCACTACGTAATATCACCATGATATGCCAAATCTAGATGTTTATCTGTGTTATGCATACTATAAATTCACCAATTTCTTATAGACCATAAGAATACATGCCATATATGGTACTTGATTTCTTTGTTTGGGTGTTGTTGCCCTAAAAATTTATTATTTTTTCTTATAGATCCTTGTTACTTAATTTTCTGTTTGACATCTCAAGTTTTATGAATTGAAATTTAATTTATATTTGTATTGTAAACATTTAGCCATTTTTCTGCCATAGATTCTCTTTTGTTGGTCAAAAGAGAAGTTCTCTGTTTTTAGGGCATGCAGTTTTAGAGAAACTAAAGTAGCTATTTTAGTTTTTACGATGTTGTATGTGAAATGTGGTGGACTGCATTGAATCTTTCTTTATGGCTCTTAATTTAATATTAGACTAAATGTTCAAGTTAACCCCAAACAAATAAGTATTTACGAAATGTACATAACCAGTTGTCATGGTATGTGCTCTCGTTTTCTTCCAATTGGAATTATCCTTGTTGATATTCGTTCATTGCTGTTTCTCTTCAGGGATGATATTTATGGAGCTGGAAATTTCAAATTTTCAGAACCATGGACCGATCCACTTCCAAAATACAGAAAGGTTTGTACGATGTACTATTTCTGAACATTCGGAAAAGCAGGATTATGTTCCTTAGGTTGTGTATATCCTTGCCATAATAAGTGTCTCATATTCTTTGGTTATGGCATACATTTCGAAGCTGTTATCCTATGGTTTCCATTTCAGCTTTCATTGTTTTACTTTAAGCAGGATGTGAAATCATTTTAGCAGTTTACTAACTCCATTAATAAAACTGAGATCACTTTTAACATTTGGGATATGAGAACCAGACTGTTTTATTGTGTATAATCAGTCTTTTCCTTTATGTGGGACATCGTATTAGAAGGGAATTATAATATTATGCATGATTATTAATTGCATACAGGTCCTCGTCGTGTCACCATATTTTGTTGGGAATATCATTGATGTTACTATGGTTCATACGAGTGACTATTGCAATTAAAGTATTTTGGTAGGCTTGTAACCGTGGTTTCTTTATCAGATTTTTTGCGACTGTTCCAATGATTATTGCCTCCTAAAACTGAGTCGTAGACAGTAGGTAGTCGAAATTACTCTTGCAGCTTATTTCACGTCAAAATTTTAAAATTCTAGTGTTTATATGTCCCTCCTGATATTGTCTAGTCGAATCATTGTCAGCTCCAATAATTTTGTTACTTTGGAGAAGATGATGTTCGTCTAAAGCATGACTTGTTGACTAAGGTTGTCAAACTAAGCATACAAAACATTTTGTCAAAAGAGATCATACATATATATATATATATATATATATATTATTCAGGTTTGATGCTATGCCTAATAGCCCTTCTCTTTTTTATTTTTGGCAGAAGAGGTGCTCAGAAATTGAAAGTAGTAGTGAATTGCCACTAGATTTCATTGAACAGCCGAGAGCACATCTTCAAGAGGTTGATGAGGAAATCATTTGCCTAGCTCCAAAAACAAGGAGTGAGAAGTGGAAGAATGATCTTGCGGCTTCTAGTAGTTGTTCCCCTATGACGAGAACCAAAAATATACAGTAAATCTCTCTCTCTCTCTCTCTCTCACACACACACACACACACACACACACGTGCGCCTAAGAGAATTCTTTTTAGGAAATTGGGGTTTACATTTCCTGATTTGACATCCTTTCACTATGTCACAGCTCTTCTAGATCATGTAATATCGCCATGATATGCCACGTCTAATGGTTTATGGGTGTTATGTCATACATGGTACTTGATTTCTTTCTTTGGGTGTTGCTGCCCTAAAAATTGATTAATTCTTCTTCTTATTGATCCTTTTTTCCTAATTTTCTTTTGATGTCTCAAGTTTCATAAATTAAAGTTTGTTTATATCTTTCTTGTAGACATTTAGACTCTTTTTTCTGCTATAGATTCTCTTTTGTTTTTCAAAAGAGAAGTTACGTGTTTTTAGAGCATTCAGTTTTAGAGAAAAACTAAAGTTGCTACTTTCATTTTTACGATGTTGCAAGTGGAATTGTGGTGGACTGCGTGTAATTTTTCTCTATAGCTCCTCATTTTTTATTATTAGAAACTAAATGTTCAAACCAACCCCGAATAAGTAAGTGTTGAAGAAAATTCTTTTGTAGCATAAACAGCTTTTGTGGTATGTTCCTCTCGTTTTCTTCCAATTGCAATTGCTCTTGTTGATATTCTGTCATTGCTATTTCTCTTCAGGAATGATATTGATGAAGCTGGAAAATTCAAATCTTTGAAGTCATGGACCGATCCACTTCCAAAATGCAGAAAGGTTTGTACAATGTTCTATTTCATACATATATGCATATCCATCAAATGTTCCTGTAGTTTGATACGAAGCTGCATAAAAATTGAGATCAGAGCACTAGGCTTTCACTACATTGATTTTTTGCACCTCTAATATTTGGGATATGAGAATCAGATTGTTTTATTGTGTACCATCGGTCTTTCCCTTATGTGGGACCTCAATCATATCGGAAAATAGATCATATGCCATATATTATTCCGTTATTCCGGTTTGAGATCTATTGCCTAATGGCCTCGTTTTTTTTTTTTTTGCAGAAAAGGGGCTCGGAGATTAAAAGTGAATTGCCAATAGATTTTATTGAACAGCAGAAAGCATATTATAAAGAGGTTGATGATTTTGAACTACCGGAAGAAGAAGTGTCCTCACAAGATGAGTTAGATTAGGAAAACAAAAGAGTAACATTAAACGAGCACATAAGTTCCTTGTACAGTTCACTTGGCGAATGATCGATACGATTTCCATTACCAGTTGATACTGATTTCCGACTTTTATGCAGGTATAGATTCCACTACGTAAAAATAGATAGGTCCTTATTGGTTTACATATTGTGTTCTTTTTAATGGATCCGTAATGGCGAAAAAGATTCCAGCTCTGTATGGATCTGCTTACTTAACCTCCATTAGTTTGAGTTGAATTTGAATGATAATCATAGTGAAAACTCGAAATAACTTAGTTGATGGATCAAAGAATGCGATGTTATTTGACCCGAATTCGCATCACTGGTCAATGCTTTCTACATTGAGTTTGTAGCACATGGGTAGCCTAGTATAATTTACATTTCTTGTGTGGTTTGTGAGTTATTGGGCGAGACGGAGGTTTACCCAATGCAATTCGAGTGTCTGCGAGTTTCTCTTGTAAAAAAAAAAAGGCAAAATGAGTTTCTTAGTCCTATAAGTTTACAAGTTGAGAGTTTTAGTCCATCATGTCTTAAAATCAGAATTTTAGTCATGTAAGTTACACAAGTTGGGAATTTTGGTCATATGACCTGCTATAACAGGTAATGTATAGTTGGTCGAATGAGTTGGCATTTAAAGTATAAAAATAAATAGATTAAAACTAAATTAGGTGATGTGGCTAATGAGTTGGACAATTTTGAAGGGAAGTAAAATATACCATCATTTTTTTATTTGGTGAATGAAATAAGCATTTTTTTAGTAACTATTTTTTAATTAATATTTCATAGTTTTCAATCGATAAAAATAGTAATTAACTATATTTTATTACTCGTTATTGATATTTGTTTCTATTGGTTTGATAAAGTATTTTATGTTCGGAGGCTCTAGAATGTTTTTTTGGTACATTTAATTGAATAGAATTTTGAATATATTTTATTATTTTTTTGTTAATTCGTAAATGTGTATTTGATTTTTTATACTAATTATGATTGTACATGACATTTAACTTTACAACAAGTTTTCATTAAAGTTTTTTTTAGTATTTTTATTGAATTTGATTGTCCGTTCAATTTCATTGTAATCCTAATTATAGATTTATAAAAAATGAAATATTTAGATAACTATGAATTTAATTATTACTTTTATCAAATAAAAACTAAGAAATATTAATTAAACATTAATTAGTCTTATTTCCTTCATAAAAAATATAATGGAAGATTTTATCCAACGGTTTATTGTGGTTCTTTATTGCAAATATAACAAATAAATAAATATATAAATTAATATGTTAAATTTTCCTTATTATTTCGGTAAATTTGACATTGAGGATCAAATTTCTCTCCAAAATCATCCAACTCATTACCCACATCACCTAGTTTATTTTTAATTTATTTATTTTTATATTTTAAATGCCAACTCATTCAACCAACCATCACATTACCTGTTATAGCAGGTCATAAGACCAAATTTTTCAACTTTTATAACATACATGACTAAAATTCTAATTTTAAAATATGATGGACTAAAACTCTCAATTAGTAAACTTATAGGACTAAAAACTCATTTCCCCGAAAAAAAAAAGTGATGAATTCAATAACCAAAAGAAAGACACCACATGCACACATGATAAGCAATATTGACATACTCCAACAAATATTTCAAAGTCTCAATTAAAATGGTTGTTGCCAAGTTATAATTGTTTTATGGCTATCTTTTTAATAAAGTGACAATTCAAATTTCTCCATCAATTTCTCATTCCAGCAATTAAAGTAAATTATTACTTATGGGTTGTTCATTCGTCTCATTTATTTCAATTCTCAAATTTAATGACAAGATGTTCTCATTGATTATATATATAATGACAGTATTTAATCATTAATCATGATCATAATTTTGTAATTGACCCTCCAACCACAATCGCCATCATTGAATTTATTCAAGCCATGTCATTGATATTCTCATCGAACAGAAAACGTTGGCAAGAGAATTCAAACTCGAATCATTTGAGTTTGCATTCTCCTACTCCATCAATTAAGTAGGTCATTCTTACAGAATATGTATTTATTTGTATAGGAATATGATTAAAGTAAAAAAGTTCTATTATTTGAAACGAGAAAAATACTTGTACTCTTTAAAGTTCAGTAATAAAGTGTGCTTTATATCTCTCGTATAATTTGCAGGTCATCATTATACAGGGCAAAAATTTACCCAATGCACATACATCTGTGACTTCGAGCTCTTTTGTATGACAACAAAAAAAATACCGTAATTTTTAAGTAATAAAACAAAATTGGTTCTTCATTTTTTCTCTTTGTTGTTTTGCAGCAAAAAATGTATATGTAAATTACTATTCATGTTAACAATTGTTAACTACCTTGTAGAAATTATATGTTGCAGTGTGAAACTATTTTTATTTTTTAAGATTTACAATAATAAAGACAAAATAGCCAAGTTTCTAAATTTTATATATCATCTTATATGTAAGTACTTTTACATTTGATTTACAAACAAGTAACCAGCCATACACATATATGTATGTGAATGTTCGTAAAATATGTATACATCTATAGATATGTACGATAGGATATAACCTAGTAATCCTCTCAAAAAAAAAAATAATAAATAAATAAAATAAAATAAAATTGATTAACCTTCCAAATTGTTACCTTAAGAAAAGTGAGAATTTCGAACATTTTTCTAATTCTTGGCAAAACTTACTCGTAATTGGGAAAAAAAATAGAGCATTTTGGCACTTTGCATCTTGAAAAATAATAATAGCATTTTGCACCCTGAGAATACAATAAATCATTCACAATGCACCATGAGTTGAATAATAGACGCATAATTCATTTTTTATTGGGCTTTTTTTTCCGGTGTGCAAAATAACAAATTAAATTGTTAGTTTCTTCAACCTCTAACCTAATTTTGAGCGCACAAATGGCGAAAATAAAAATCACCCTAGATAATTGATTTTTTTTTTATATTTTCTTACGAAATAAAATCAAATAAACTTTTATCACTAAATTATTCGGTTGATAGATCTTTTATTGTAATTGGTGGAAATATTAGGTAGAAATATTTGGAAGAAAATATGATTTTCAGATAACTTGATAACGAAATAGCTAAATGATTTTTTTTTCGTAAAATATTTTTTTGTGATAAAAAATATAATTTTTAAATACCACTAAAAATATTAAATTACCTTTATTAGCTTTAAAAATTTATGTGGTGCATTATGCATGATATATTGTGTTTCGAGGGTGCAAAGTGAAGAAACGATATATCTCAAGGGTGCAAAGTGGGATTAAGCCAAAAATAATTTGTAGGATTTAATTATGACAATAAATGTAGATATAAATTATTTCATAAAGTGGTGTATACAGTATACATAAGCTAAAAAATTACATAGCGAGAAATGTCACAAGGGGAAACCAAATAAATGCAATATAGAAAACATGATGATCTGCAACAAATGCTCCTCCAATCACGCAAAAGGTTTGGGGCCATCAATTGTGTCCCCTAATAATGAATCTAAAAAGTGATTATATATATTTATCTTCTTATTATTCCCTCTTCTATTTTTGTGTTTGTGCACTTTTACTTTAGTCAAAATCTTGTTGGTTGATTTGTGAGGGCCACTTCTTCTTCAAGCATGAACCCTAAACCAATCTACTTATGCCTCGTTTGGTTATCACGATAAGTTTAGTTAAGATAAAATTAAATAATCTAATGAAACTCAATTGTCTTGTTAGACCTTGAAAAATCCAACAAAAAATATGCCTAGAAAATAAGATAAACCATGATAACATAATATCTGCGGATCGACCCGACAAGTTATTAGAGATACCGAACATCAAGCAAAGTCCAGGTATTTAGTTAATCATGGCTAATCTTCCTAACCAAACGAGGCCTGAAAGGATAATCTTTTGTCTCCAAAGTCCCAGTATGTGATTTTCCTAACCAAACGAGGCCTTAAAAGGATAATCTTTTGTAGGGGTGGTTTCGGTACGGTTGCCGAATATTTTGTTCAATACCGTGTACCTACCGTATCTTGCGGTATTGAAAAAATCTATACCGTTACCGTACCAACAATTGCGGTATACCGCTATTCGGTATACCGTTAGTTTCGGTACGGTGTGATCGGTACGTGGTAATCTACCGTGCATAATTTTGTTGATGAATTCGGATAATACCATAATTAAGATGAATACTAAATAAATGTATAAATACAACAAATTAAGCAAATGAATATGGCAATTAAGCAATCTACATGAATATACATTATACAAATCATAATATATATAGGATGTATCATATTTTTATTCTTGTTTTTTTTTTAATTATTTGTTGACTATATTTTTTTTATTTAACACTATAAAAGGAAATCTATATTAACTAATTTTTAAAATACAAAGTTGCGGTACGGTACGGTATTACCATGGTATTGAAGATACAATACCGCTACCCTACCGTAAACTAATGGTACGGTACCAATACCGTACCAAATGTAATGGCAACCGATAGTTCGGTATTTATTCGGTAATTTTTGGTAGGTATACCGTGGTAATCGGTATTCGGTAGTTTTTTTCCAGCCCTAATCTTTTGTGTTCAAAGTCCAGTATGTGTGTGCTTGCTCTAGGAGTGGAAACCAGAACGAAGTCGATTTTGATGATCATGATTTTTGTTTTTGGAACAATATTTTTCGTTCTTAAATCCTAAATTTTCACTTTTACGATTTTTTTTTCCGAGTTATTTTGTAATGGAGTTGAAATATGTATGAAATTCCGCTTCAATTTTTAATTTTGAAAATAAATTTAATCATTTCTTCTGAAATTACACTTAATGTTATGTATTTAATATTATAGGTGAGTAAAAGGGAAGTTAGATGTTGGACTTGGTTATTTACATCAGATGAATTTGAACCGTAGATTGGATTAAATAACTATCCACTAAGCATACATACACATGAGTGCGTGCATGTGATTGGAAAAATGTGTAGATCTATGATTCAAATTCACCCAATGTAAAATGACCAGGTGTAGCATCTAATTTCCCGAATAAAATTTATAATTTTCAATTTATGTCAATTTTAGTCTAAAAATTATAATTATGAAACAAGCTTTTTGTTCCGAAACTTCGACTTTTTTTTTTTGGAATTGAATGCCGATTCCAATTTCCATGTAAGTTAGAGATTCATGATCAAATTGAAATTTGTTAGAAAAATTACAACTATAAAGTTCAAATTTTTTAATGATAATTTGTTCCCAAAACTTGAAATCTTCTCAATTTTGGAAATTTAAATGAGAAAACTTGTTCCAAAATCTAATATTCTTGGATCGGGCGTTGGGATTTGAAAATTTCATGAAGAAAGAGGTATCAAATATAATCATCATTTTTTTTTATTAATAATTATTTGATATTTCCCCATTTCTTTTCAAGTGTCATTTAAGGTAAATGCACCTTAGTTAAGAGAATTATTAAAAGTCTTGATTTGTGGGAAGAAATTCTTATTCGACTAGGGATGGCAATGGGTATGGGTTTGGCGGGTCTTGGAATCGAAATCGAACCGTTTGGAACAGGTATAGGTCAGCTAAATGGTTCTGGGTCGGGTAATGGGTTTAAGTTTCTAGAACCGGATGGTTCTGGGTCGGGTGCGGTTCTGGGTCGGGTTACGGGTCTCATTTACCTACTTTCACTGTTTTATTTTTCGAATCTCTTTTCTCGTGAGTAATATTTATCACTTGTCGACCACCGCTAATTGTCTTGCATTTTGAATTTGACTTATTATCGAAGTTAAATATAATTAATTCTAATTTTATTGGTCATGTTATATCACTTGTAGAGATTTTTTTAAATATTGTATTCTAGTATTGAGCTTATTTCGTAAAAATATACAAGCAAAATGTTATGAAAGTTAAAAAATATTAAACTTTTTGTACATTAACGGGTCTGGCGGGTCAGAACCGTTTATCTATGTTCTGGGTTGGGGCGGGTTTAGGTCTAAGCTAAAACGGGTTGGGACGGGTCTTGGGTTTATATATTTTTCGTGGGTCGGGTCTTGAATTTAGGCAAATCCGGCCCAGCACCGACCCGTTGCCATCCCTATATTCGACCAAATTAAAGATTTTCATCTTCTCTTTCTCATTTTATTTATTTATTATTAATATTGAGATAAAATTGGAAGAAAATAATTAATTATACTTTGAAACTCTAAAGTGATAATTAATATGAAAAAAAATTGAAGATTAAAGTGATGTTTAAAAAGAATACTTAAATTTATATTTTATTTCTATAACTTCCGTTGAGTAAGGGTATTCATTATGTAAAACTGTACGGAAATTACGGTACACCAAAATTTTACACCATTAACCAAATCGAAATATGAGGTTTGGTTCAGTAAATAACCGAATTACCAATATTTAAAATTTTGATTTTTTTGAAAATAATTGTAGTGTGTGTGTGTGTATATATATATATATATATATATATATATATATATATATATATATATATATATATATAATAATAATAATAATAATAATAATAATAATAATAATAATAATAATAATAATAATAATAATAAATAAATAAAAATAAAATTTCGGTATTCGGTAAAACCAAATTAGTGGAATTTGGGAAAAAACTGAATGGGCAAATGGCAAAAAGGGACATGACAGGGACTTAAATGCACATTGGTCCACAAAAAAAAAAAAAAAAAAACAGTATTTCAAATAAATCGATCCCCATGTCCTTAGTCAAAAATACCCTCCATAATATATTTTTTGTCAATTCCATTCATTATGCTCTAACTTCCTTAATATTACACATTGACACCCGGACTTAAACAAATATATCACATTAACCCCCATTTTGATAATTTTTTGAAAAAATATTTTTTTTTCTATTTTTTTTACGGCCAGATTCAGGCGTTGACCTTTTTTTTTTAAACTTTTTTTTTCTGAAACTTTTTTCCGGCCGGTCAACCGCCGGTCTCCGGCGTTGACTTTTTTTTTTCTTAGAAAAAAATATTTTAATTAATATTACTGTCTTGGCTGCAAAATTACTGTCTCAGACAGTAATATTACTGTTTGGGACAGTAATATTATGAATATTATTTTTCCGAACAGTAATATTACTAATATTACTGTTCCAAACAGTAATATTACTAATATTACTGTCCCAAACAGTAATATTATTGCATAAGACAGTAATATTACGGTCGTAGACAGTAATATTACAGTCGAAGACAGCAAAAATGCAAGTCAAGACGATAAAATTAATTAATAAGTAACATTATTGTCTCATAAAGTTAAATTACTGTTGGAGACAATAATTTAGCAGCCAAGACAGTAATATTAATTAAAATATTTTTTTTAAGAAAAAAAAAATTAAAAAAAAAAAGTCAATTAACAATTAAATTACTGTCTCCGACAGTTAAATAACTGCTGGAGACAGTAATTTAGCAGCCAAGACAGTAATATTAATTAAAAAAAATTAAGAAAAAAAAAGTCAACGCCGAAAACCGGCGGTCAACGGCGGCTGACCGGTGGTCTCCGATGGTTGCGGGTCAAAATTGAAATTATGGTCAAAATTGGTTAATTGGTGAAATTTGGCTAAATTGGGGTGTAAAACATGAAATTTGAGCTGAATTGGGTTCCAATAAATTAAGGGTAATTTTGGTATATATAAAAGAGTTTTCCTTATTTGCAAATAAGTTTGAATGAACTAGAAATATTTGCAAGACAAAAAAGTTGGATGTACGCCCAAACTGAATATCATTTTGTTAATTAAGTGCTATTGTCATGTGCGGATTTGCCATTTGCCCAAACTGAATTCCGAGCCGAATCACATTTGGGTCGGATAAATTTACCGACCGGATGAACGCCCCGCCACGACTCTGCCGTGGCCTTTTAATGGCTTTTATCGTTCCTCTCTTTCTAAACTTTATCTTCCACGCTTCTTTCACCAAGCCATTACACACAGTCACACACGCACACTCTGAAACACACAGTCATACACACTCTGAAACACACACACATTACATACAACTGAAGCACTGTTGGCTTTTTTCCCTCTGAAAAATGAAATGCACTTTTCCTTTCCACTTTAATCTCTGGTCCCATCGTTTTTTTTAACAATAATCATTACCATCACACCCTCACACATTTTCATCACCCAATCAAGGATTCTAAAACCCATATAAGCTTCTGTATAAATGCATCCCAAATTTACCAACATTCTAATTTAATTTCTGAAATTCAGAGCTTCTTCTTCTTCTTCTTCTTCTTCTTCTTCTTTATAATTTACTTTTTGTTGCTGATCAAAAAGTTATGGGGGACACAACGGAATCATCTTCCGCCGTCACTGAAACGAAGAAGGTTGTTGTAAACCCTAGAGCGGAAATCGACACCTCGCCGCCGTTCGAGTCTGTCAAGGAGGCGGTGGACCGCTTCGGCGGCAGTGGCCCTTGGATACCCCATCACTTGCTTCGTTTAGCTGCTGCTCAACATGTCAGTTTTTTTTTTTTTTTTTTTTTTATTTTTGTTCAATTGAAACTTACCTCTTATATATATATATATATATATATATATATATATATATATATATATATATATATATATATATATATATATGTATGATCTATACGAACTCGGGGAGAAAAATGGAAAACCTCAAAAAAATAATATACATAACCTCCCCTAAATAATACTTCCTTTTGGGCACAACTCGGGAAAAATGTATTAAATTATTAGTTCGATAATTTAATATTTCGCTAAATTAATAAAATTCGGTTAGTCCCGACTGTATTAATTTAATTTAAAGAGGTTTTAACTATTTATGCTTTTACCTAATCAAGAAACTAAACATGTCAAAATTAGGGATTTGTATTGTTTGTAACTGTCAAAATGAAATGAAATGTGAATTTGCATTGTTACTTGAAAGATATGAGCAATGGTTACTTAATCACGTGCCTAGTAATTTTCGAAATGAATGAAATGGGAATTTTCATCTTAACGCAAGTTTCGTTTTTCGTTTTTCAAAGTCTTTTAACTCAGAAATATGATCATGGATTGCAGGAGGATTTTGATCTGGATAAAATAGAGGAGCATGCAGTGAAATTGGAGAGGGATCTGATTCTGAAAGAGCAACAAACACTCGATGTCTTAAAAGAACTCGAGTCAGCAAAAAGATTCGTCCAAGGCCTAAAAGTCAACTTCAACATTCCGGATTCGTCGCCATCTTTCACACCCAGTCCCGACATAAAATTCGATGTCGGGACTTTCTGCCCTTCAATGTCGCCCAATTTGATGTTTATGGAATTAAATCGGGCGAAATTAAACCTCAACAAAACATCCGGAGATCTCGCGGTGATCCAAGCCTCGGTCGAGTCCTTAAACAAGAAAATGAGAAGAGATAAGCTCTTGCTCGAAAAGAGCACTAATAATTCCGAAGAGATTTTCTCTTTCGAGCCAAAATCTCCGAAAGTCGAAACCGATTTTTCGATGACTACTATTTGCAACTTTGAGGAAGAGCAGTTCAAGAAGATGACGGAAGCTTCTAGATACGAGGTGGTCAAGGCCATGACCGAGATAGAACGGACCAAGAATAGTATAAGAATGGCGGAAATGAGATTGAACGCAGCCAAGAAAATGGAGGAAGCTGCTAAAGCGGTCGAAGCTATTTCACTTGCCGAGAGAAATTCTCGTTTGAATAACGATGAGAATTCATCGAATAATAATGGAATAACTCTTTCGTTCGAGGAGTACAGAGTTCTTACAAGAAAAGCACAGCACGCCGAAGACCTATGCAAGACCAAGTTCGTAGATACCGAAGAAAGCTATTCAAGAACACAAGTGGAACGGTTGTCTGAAAATAATTTGAATAAATTTAAGTTTAGGAATTCGAATTCCGGTCATAGAAGTCCGCCTGTACTGGCCAATGAAAAGTCAACGCCCGGTTTCCGGACGACTTCGATTGGAGACATATTGGGTAAGAAGTTGGTAGTACCACCACAAGATGATGGTGCGGTGGGGCGGCGTGCGGAGGATCGTTCTGAAAGGGAACGTGTTTCTTTGAGTGAAATGCTGAGGGAACGGAGTAGGGTTATTATGCACCCTCCTACTAAAGGTTCGGAGAATGGGAAAATCGAAAAGCAATACTTTTTGCAGCAGAAGAAGAAGTTTGGATTCATGCAGAGCAAGAAAAAGACTCAGACTTTGAATCTCAGGTGATTTGATTAGGCTCTTAATTTAAAAGTGTGATTTTTATAGTGTATTTTTAAATTGTGTTGTTTAGTATTGATGTTTGGGATTTGGGTTTTGTTGATGTTTGGATTTTGTTACATGATTCTTGTGATTTTTATTTAAGTGTTGGATGATGATTGTTTGTATGATTTGGGAATAAAATTCATTTGCATTTGTTTGTTATTTGAAATTTAACTAGGTTGATGAATAGAGTTAAAAAATAATTGGCTTAATACCACTTTGCACGGTTGAAATATATTTTTTTGGCACTTTGCACTTTTGAAATTTTTTTATAACATTTTGAAATCTCGAATCACAATGAATCGTGTATAATGCACCCTGAATGAATTTTTAAAGCTAATGAAGACAATTTAATATTTTGTGGTATTTTTTAGAATGTCAAATGCCAAATCAATTTTTTTATTATTCAATCCTTTTGATAAAAAAATAAATAAATTAAACCAACCAACCAACCAAACCTCGTTAAGCGAATTGGTACATACCCTTGCCATTTACCAATAAGATAACCATCATTAAAAGAGTTGATATCTAGCTTTACCTGACTCCCACGCTCCCCCTCTCCTTCCCTCCATTTTTTCCTATAAAATTAAGATCAAGTCCTTTCATTTATTTCTTTTTATTTTTTATTTATTTAAAAGTAGTTCTTTTAATTTATTTATCCATCAACTATTTACAAAAAAAAAATATATATATATATATATATATTCGGGCCGGGCCAGCGAACCGTATGTTGTACGGGCCGGTTCTGGTCCCTAAAAAAGTGAACCGTGAACTGGCCCATGGCTATGTGTAGTTCAAGTTCCCCTCCCCTACTTCCCCTTTTAAATGACTTGAATTTGCTTAAAAATAAATTTCTTTTGAAACTACAAAATACAAAAATAAAAATACATTTCATCAACATATTTGAAAATAGTCACATTTAAATGTCGAATTTTGTTTCCAAAATTCGAAAATACATATTTGAAAATACATTTCATCAACATATTTGAAAATAGTCACATATGCGAGTATTACTTTTTCTTCAAGTATATTACAATTGCAATTTATTTAGGTTCATCTCATTTTATTTCTTTTATTTATATAAGTATATATCGTTAGAGATTGTATCGAGAGTTTGTCAATTAAATAATACATAAAACATTGGCATGATAGTTAAAAACAGTGTCTTAAATATCGGTCATGACAGCTGCCTAGGCGGTGGTTGACGTAAATTTTACAATTTTGGTGTGGCAGTTTGACAATTCGGTTTTTCCATGGTGATGCAATTTGTGGCGGATTGGTCAAACTTTGAGAATAAATTGTAAAAAATAACCAGTCTTTTTTTTTTTTTTTTCCCCTTCTTGTTTTAATTTAAAACAGACTTATGATTTTTTCCAAATAAATTTCTTTCGTCCGCCACCAACTCATCCACTAGAAGCGAACCAAATGTTTCCGATTCTTTACAGTTCGGTTCTTTACGATTCCCGGTTAGAACCTGTAGAACCGGGCCGGTTTTAATAATATTTTTTTTAATATATTTAACTTAAAAAATACTTAAAGAAAAACTTATAAAAATAGTTATTTTTTTTAAAAGTGGAAATAATAATTAAAAAAACTTATTTTTTTTAAAACATAAAGTTTTTCTAAAAATACTTAAAAAAATTTGTTTATTTAATTTGACCATTGGAAAATACTTAAATACTTAAATTAATATTTTATGTTTTTCTTTCTTTTAAAAAAAAAAACAAACGTTCGAACGGTTCTAACCGTCGGTTATCGGTTCCGAAAATGGAGAACCGGAACCAAACCGGATTTTTTGGTTCCGGTTCCGATTCGGTTAAAAAATCGTTAGACCCCACTTCGATTCTGGTTCCAGTTCTAAACGAACAAGTGGTGATATATGTATAAAATCAACATAATCAAAAATAAATAAATATAGAGATAAATAAAGTAGAAAAGGTCATGAAAAGAGATGGGTCCCACAACACGTCAACTGGAATCAGATTAGATTTCCAGATTTCAATTTCATCATATCCCCTTATCTTCTTCTTCATCATCATGTCTTTCTTCAGTAGACCTTCTTAATTCTTGAGGCTGAATTTCCATTTTACATCTATCAAGGGTTTCTTTCTTCGAGAGGAAATATGGCTTGCATTTACAGCAGCTCCGTTTCATCAATTTCTGCTAAATTGAATTTGACTTCTCCCCCCAATTACAAGCCCAAATTCGTTTGCTCTGTTGGAGGTACACTCTATTCCTTTTTCTTTTTCCCCTTTTTGGATGGATTTGATGTGAAATAGTGCTACGTTTTATGCATTTAATGATGACGTAATTCGTGTTTGTGCGGGCGAAATGATAATTTGATGAAGCACCCCCAAATTGGTTCTGTTTTCTGATTAGGTTTTTCACTTTTGTTTGCTGTAGAACAAATTTCATGACCCGATTAGAATTGTTCGTTTCGTTTTTTTTTCTTTAGTTGAAAATCTGAATTCGAATGGAAATGATTTGATTACTGATAATCAGTAGTTTTATATTGTTTGTTTATTGGAAACAACTGTGGAGCCCTAATTAGCTGGAATGCACTGTATTATGTTCACGATTTTCGTTCCTTGACTGTTTAAATTTAAATCTTACGAAAAAAAATCGTTGTTTAATTATATGAAATAGTTTCCAGTAACGATCAAGCTTACATTTTAATAAGTTGTGTGGTGTAATTGTGTAGGAGCTGTTGCGGAGCCAAAAGCTGTAAATGCAACAGAGCCGTTGCTGCTAAACGCAGCACGAGGGAAAGAAGTAGACAGACCCCCGGTTTGGCTTATGAGGCAAGCTGGGAGGTACATGAAGGCAGGTTTACACCACAACATAATCAAACTCCTAGTTATTTCAAACTACATTTCTTGATCGGAAAAATTGAAGTATCCGTTTTTTATTTATTTTTTAACTGTCTAATGTTTCTTCATTTTAGTAGCATGGTCAATTCAACTCAACAAGGGGTTATCTCAATTCTAAAAGATTTGTACTACATGTTTCCGTAATCAAATGTCGCTTAGGATAATCTGACGTGGCATTTGTCTATCTTGGGGTGACTGTAGAAAAAGTTACCTTGTCCACGAAAAAAATAGAAAAATACTAAAAGGTCGCACGTGGTAGAAAATATGTCGATGTTAGTATGTATGCCCCTTCTGTATATTAATGATTTTCGTATATTTCCAAGTTCAAGTTTTATTGCTCGAGCTGCTTTAAAAAACTGGGCCGCAATATCCATTTATAAATAATTTAGTTAATGAAAAATCTTATTAATTGCATTTACACATTACTATTATTTGACCTACAAAATCAACGGATGTGGCAACTGTTAATGGAATCACTTTAGTTAGTCTTGCACAATGCAATTTTTACGGTTCCAGTTGATTTTTTCGCCGTTAGCCAGAAACTTAGTTGTTCATTTATATACGTTCTTGTTTGATTATTCCTTCCATGTTATACTAAACTGGATCTGTTTAACAGACTTACCAAACACTCTGCGAAAAGCATCCATCCTTTCGTGAAAGATCAGAAAATGTCGACCTTGTGGTGGAAATCTCTCTTCAGCCCTGGAAAGTGTTCAAACCTGATGGGGTAAAATGGGAAATCTCTCTTTTTAGCCCTCTTCACCCCCATTGTTTCATAAGCTGAAAAAACTTCATTCCAACAATTAATTGATCTGAATATATTTACCGTTGCAACTTTTGCAGGTCATCTTATTCTCTGATATTCTTACACCTTTGACTGGAATGAACATACCTTTTGACATTGTCAAAGGTCAGGGTCCTATAATATTCGATCCGATACGCACGGATGCTGATGTGGCGAAAGTGATAGAATTCAATCCCGACGAGTTTGTTCCGTACGTTGGGGAAGCTTTAACAATCTTGCGCAAGGAGGTATGTTCTTAGTACATTTCTTGTCCTCAACTTTAGTTTACACTATGCAATAATTCAGACAAATCAGCACAAATACTTTAGAAGAAGTGTTTTTTGATCCTGTGAGGATTTTAATAGATCTTGAGATGCGAAAACAAAAGAGCGAATTATGTATTTTACTTATTATTCTGTCATGACAGCTTCATTCCTTTTGCTATATTAACTCCTTTTTTTTTAATTAATCACCGTCAGGTAAACAATGAAGCAGCAGTACTAGGTTTTGTTGGGGCACCTTTCACCCTAGCATCTTATGTGGTTGAAGGAGGTTCCTCCAAGAACTTTACAAAAATAAAGAAACTCGCTTTCTCAGAGCCTAAGGTAACTTTTTACTGCTACCTTACAAAGCTCGACATTTATTTTGAACAGTGGACTTTCTTAAGTAAACACCAAGATTGGATTTTGATTGAAGGATTGGGATCTGATGAGAGAATTTAGGAGAAAGGATTTCAAAATTCAAATTCACTGTAACAACTCAAAAAACTATTCTAAATTGAGAGCTAATGATCTGAAATTCGTTATAGAATGATTTCATTAAAAAACTTTCTGAATAAATCTTTCACTTTCGATGCTTAAAAAATTATCATTTCATCATTTTGTCACACCGCTCCTTCAGATCCTTCACGCGCTACTTCAAAAATTCGCAACATCAATGGCGAAATACATACAATACCAAGCAGACAAGGGAGCTCAAGCGGTTCAGATATTCGACTCGTGGGCAACAGAGCTCAGCCCAGTCGATTTCGAAGAGTTCAGTCTTCCTTACCTGAAACAAATAGTGGACACAGTGAAAAAGACGCATCCAAATCTACCGTTGATTCTTTACGCAAGTGGGTCCGGTGGGTTAATCGAGAGGCTACCGTTGACTGGGGTTGATGTGGTGAGCTTGGATTGGACGGTGGATATGGCTGAAGGGAGAAAGCGTTTGGGCGCTGATGTGGCAGTGCAGGGGAATGTGGACCCCGGTGTTCTTTTCGGTTCGAAAGAGTTTATTACTGCAAGGATTAAGGATACTGTTAGAAAAGCTGGGAGAGGGAAGCACATTTTGAATCTTGGACATGGGATTAAGGTCGGTACGCCCGAAGAAAATGTTGCTCATTTCTTTGAGGTTGCTAAAGGGCTTAGATATTAGAATGTGAATTTCCGAGGCGTTTTTTTTTTTTTTTTTTTTTTTGTAATAAGGATGATAGATATTTGACCAGATTTTCTGTAGTATTAATTTATTAATTCTTCAGCCTGCTGTTTTGTTGTATTACATGTTAGCTTGAAGATAACATTTTCACTTTATTTCCTGTAGAATGATTTATTCATTCTTCTCTTGTTTGAAATAATGCACACACACACAAAACACTAGAGAGACGTGGCAAATAGATTACTTAGAAGAGAATAGAACATTAATAGTATTCCAACACCAATTATTCATCATCTTGTTTCACAGCATTTCCAGAAAACATGATTATACAAGAATTTACATACAACAAAATAAAAATGCAGTTGTCGTCAGCTTCTGCTTCTAATTATTAATAGATTACTTAAGTCGATCTCTCCTTGCGTAGTGTCTCGAGCTCTTTGACCATCTGCCAGTGTTCCATTGACAAACTCGTTTCACCAAAACTAATCGACATTAGTCGACCCATCGTAAGCCATCTGCAAAAGCCAATTATCATTTTTTTCTCAATAAACACAAGTTTATTCATTTATTTATCCAAATTACAAAGGCCCTCCTTTCACCTGCTAAATTCTTGGCTGCCTAAACTTCTGTCGGCTTGCCTAGCTGCAACTAAATCATCTTCAACCACCTGTCACATATCACGTGATCATCACATTCTGTTCTAATGGTTGAAATATTAACGAACGACAAACGTCTTCTAATTTTAAGTCAACACAAAAAAATAACTTGAGTTAGATTTAATACGAACCTTCTGCATATGTGGCTCAATCGCATGTGGTAGTGATTTCATAGTAGCCAAATACCACCTCCAAGCTTTCAGCATTTCTCCGTTCACTCCCAAAGTGGGGTCCACTGCAGATGGGCGGAAAGGTACAACCAGATCAGCAGGCAGTATATTCGATTTCCCTTCAGAAAGGATCAGCACTTGTACATCTGCAGCCATCTCCATTTTATAGTAAGTGAAATCGTACTCAACCTGTGAAAACGGACAAAAAAGAACGGTTAAGCGGAAATGAACTTTCGGTAAAAAAACATATCACGAAAGCACAGGTTTTACAAGATCGAACCTTTTGTGTCTGCATCATGTTTTTCAATACTCGTACGTTTTCAACACCTGTTGAGTTGAGTGTCCCAGATTGTAATGTGGTCTCGTCGATGGTTAAGTGCGAGCCTGCAGCTAACTGCAAGAACCCAGATGCCAGCCTGTAAAAAAAAGTACCGGGTATTTCATTATCATGTCGGTTATAATCTTATAGATGGGCATCCGTGAAAGTTCATTCTCTAATTACCTGTTTGTAGTGTAGTCCTTCTTTGGGGCAAGTGAAACGGTGTTGAGATAATCTACTGTAAGAGGTAAGCATTCGGTGAAAGGTAGAATGTTTTCTACTGCAAGTTTAATTCGGTTCGCAAAAACGGATATGCTTTCTTTGTTGAAAGAGGTAAGATTTAGAGATAGCTTCCCCACAGCAATTGAATCTACTCGTGCATGCACCTGCACGTATGTAGTAATTTATACCCGGTTAATATCCAAAAAAATAAAGATAATTTACAAGAACATGTCAAGTTGATTTTCTGAAAATAAATTCCGAGGAAAATGCAAATTATCCAATATCCCGGATCATACATAATGTGCTCAGTACAAAACAATATTCCGTAAAAGGGAAAGAGTGAAATCTGATACCCTGGATAATAGGTGTAATAACACATACTGTGCTGCCACCCTGTCATTTCCGAGAACAGCTGTAAGATTTCCAAGAAGAGCTTCCCTTACTTCTCTTATTGCAGAGGGGGTTAACTGCAATATCGTTTAAAAACAAAATCTGAGCGGCCAAAATTGGGTTATCATTAAGAAAGATAAGAGATCAGTATGCCGGATTAATTATATAATTCACAACTGACAGGGGATTCGACCAAATTCAACATTGTAAAACTCACCTCCAAGCAGGGACTTGACAGAAAATCATTAACGCCAATCTTCCGGTGTACAATACAGTGCAGCCGAGGCACCTGATATTAAAAAAAAAAACCGTAAACTTTTATTTAATATTTGTCTTTCAAAACCCGGTAACTACACCTTAATATCTTTTTTTCCGAGTGATTGACTAAGTAAACAGGTGAAGCAGATTACTCATTACAGAAGTGACCGAAAAAACTACGCAAAAGTAAATTCTTAATTATGTTTGATGCAAGAGCACTGAAATTGATGAACACAAACTATGCAGGCAAAACGAGATGTCATGCAGCAATCTTAATGAATTATTATGAAATAACGAGAGAGATAACAAGACTGACCTTAGCAGGAGGCAGATAAACTAATGCATCTTCACAGAAGCCTTCTTCAAGTTCATCGGTATTATCTCTATCTACAGTAAGGTCAGTATCAAAACTGAATATACCGATGAACTCAAAAACATCGTTAAGCTTCAAGCTGGATTCCGGAGAGTCGTATGTCTGCAGAATTTCAACATCGAAAAAAAAATGGTCAAATATTAGATACATCATCATGAAGCCTTCAGATTTTACAAACTGATTGATGAATTCACCTTCACTAGACAGGGAAAAGAATTTCTTTCAAGGTCGGGAAGCAAACTCAAATTAGACGATTTTCCTTCAGTTCCAATCATCTGCAAATCCGAAGGCTCGAGGGTCCTTCCATCCTCCCGCTAATGAATGAAAAAAATAGGCAGATAATTAGGATTCTGTAACTTACGAATACGATGAACATCAACATATATAAAAGCAAAATGCAAAATGAACAATCGACGACAAAGTTGTTATAACTTACCATCTTTTTAAGATTTGGAGAATCCTCAGGTACATGGCCCGACTCCTGCCAATATATTTAGTTGGTCAACATTAAAAAACAGCAACTTGTCGTGCAATTATTCAAGCCTCAGTTATATACCAAATACGGAAATAATCAAGCGGAATCAAGTCCAAGCATTTCACCAATTCAATTAATTGCTTTATCGAACAAGTAAGTTTATACGTACCACCATATCAACATCAGCCATGGTTGAATCATCCTCTCTTGGACGCTTCTCTCTCGGTGGAGATATAGATTCAGTATACGGATTTTTTATAGATTCGTGAGAAGATTCAACCCACGAATTTTGTCCAGGTACCTAAATCAAGAAAGTCAAAGCATTGTTAGGGAATCCAAAATTGACAAGCAAGATAACGCAATAGCGGTCGAACCAAGCCAATATGAGTGAACAATCGAAACGAGAACTCACCGGAACACAATAAAGCAATTGCCGCTCCCAAATTCGACTATCGCTCGAAGCGTCCACCGGACATGGAGAAGCATCGGCAAATTTATTAGTCCTCCACTTGCATCCGTCCTACACCATGAAATTGAATTTTATTTTATTTTATTTTCGCATTATACGGAAGCATAATTGCGCATACGAATGATGATTAACCAACTTTCTTATAAGAGAACCAAGAAAAATAGACCAAACAAACCTTATATGCACCAACATAGAATTCATTTCCCAGCATGTCTTGAATCATACCCCGAAATCGAACAAGTGTGTTCGGTTGAACACGTTTGATGGTCGATGGATTAAGGATTGGCACCTAATTACAGAAATAATACAACTGTCAAAATTACAATTCGGATGAAAATAAGCCATTACTGTAAAAAACTAACAGCAAATAGAGAAAATAAACAATCTAGGGCTTTTATTTTTTCCTAATGGCAGAACAATTACAATAAAATGAAGAAAATGTACGGGAAAAGACAAACCTGAGAGAGGGCGCCGTCGTCAAAGAGAAACTGACGGAAGAGATCGGCGGTGCCCCAGTCCTTGCCGTCAAGCGCCGCCGGGTCGGAGCCCGCCCCCACCGCCTTCTCGAATGTCAACCGGACGGCTCCGAGTGGGTTCGCTAGGCAATCGTACGGCAACCCCACCATTGTTGATATTCGATTTCTGTTCTTAGTTTCTCTTTCTCCTTTCAAATTCAGGCAATCGATTTCTGTTCTTAGTTTCTCTTTCTCCAGTGAATGATAAATATATGGGGGTTGGGTGATTTTCCCGCGCTGAATAACGGCGGTGGGTTTTTCCCGCCAAGTCCAGGTCATGTTCCCGCCATTTTCTATTGATGAATTGGGCTTTTGGATATTTTTGTGGATTGGGCTTTACATAATACGAAATACTGCCAGCCCATATATTTAGGTGTGTGCAGTGTGATTGTGTGTATAAATGATCTTTTATTCGCGCCAGATGGATTTGCCGTAAACAAGTGATTACTGTACAACGAGAGGATAGGATACACAAGCGTAAGGTTACTGGATCTACACGGCGGGGCGAACGCAGTTTGCGATTGGTGGAGTCAGAGGCACAGGTGGATCCTTCGCATGATGAGGAAATGATGATGCACATGTAGGATTCCAGGGCCTATGTTTATCCGGTGCCAAATTTTAGATTAGATGGCAATGATGATGGCAATGCCGATCCTGCACCCCGACTGCTTTGACTGGTGTTGCTGCTACTTTGTTCGGTGATGCTACTACTTCGTTCGATGCAGCTACTCATCCAATTTGGGCGTGAAAATTATTTTCCAGCACCCATATTGGTCGTGGGCCATTTTTCCCAACTTATAGAACAAAAATGAAAATTTTACCTCATTGGATTGTGTATCTTGATTCTCATCTGATGCACTCATTTTTCTTTCTAAATTGCAACGATAAGATGGGTTTCGGGACGATTACTAATATAAAAGTTTGAGAGGATTTTTTTCTAGAGAGAAAGAGAGGTGGAGAGTGAATTATTGTAAACCCATATTCGTAAAAATCCTACCAGGAATATCAAGTCCCTTTCACTTTTGCCTACCTCACTCCATTTTTTACTATATTTCTTTTACTTACACTTTATAGTTTTCCGTTCTTTATTCTCTAAATCTAACAATCGGTTACCCCTATTCGATCACTCATGACTAGATCCGGCCACCCACAACTAAATCCGTGAAGGTTCGCTCAAATATAACCACAAATAACCAACTCAATAGCGGTTTGAGATGTTCTGGCAAAAAAATTGACTCAACCGATTCACCGATTCTCGAATTTTACCTTGTCGAATCAAATTTTGGTCATTTGACCTAATTTTCAATTTTTTCAATTTTAGAGGTCACGTCATACCGCCTCCGCCAGTTCATGGTCGAACCAGTGCGACAGGTCGGTTTGGTTCGGTTCTAACAACATTGGTCATTTGCCCTTTATCTTATATTACACTAACTGATTTTTTTTTCTTTTTTTTTTCATTTGAGCATTTTTTTACACTATTATAAAAAGATATTTTACTTTTATTTCTACATAATATTAAAAATTACGAAAAAATATATTTTTTTTAATTTAATTAAATATTTTTTTGAATTATTTTTATTTTACTTTATGTCGGGTAAAATGAAGTCATCCATAGTGCTATCGTCCCTTGCATCTACAACTTGAATCTCACGTCATGTCGCACACCCTCAGACGCATATATAGTAGCACATTACACTATAGCAGACCATGGTGTACTTTAGTATACTATTCCGAACCCTAGCAGCTAACTACTCACAGTCGTTGTCAATCCCTAACAGCTAACAACTCACAGCCGTCGTCAAACCCTAGCAGTCAATAATTACGAGTCGCCACTAAACTCTACACCAATCATAAATGCCCACCAAACCCTAGCCATTTGAGAACCCTAGGTTGAAGGAATAGCCTCCCATCACCGATCTGACTTCCTACCACTTTATTCAATCAATAGCCCACTCCTATAGCCACAACTTTTGTTACCGCCATAATCATCCTTCCATAACTGCGACTGTTGGTTTTAATACCTACACGCAAGTGCAAGTATCGTACAAGTAATAAAGTGGATTTTTAAGTCCAAGTATCGATCCCACAGAGAATATATAACTATTTAATTCTAGACACTAAATCCTACCTATTAGCGTATATATAATATATTACGTTAATACCACCAATTATTATCAAGCCCACCATACACAGTTGAAATATGAACAATTATATTAAATTAAACTAAAGCAATTAAAGTAAATTAAAAGGACAAGAGCAAGAAATCAGTTAAAAACGAAGATTTAATCAGAGAAAGCAAGGCAATGTTTGGTAGTGTTTTCATTTTATTTTCGTTGATTCCCCAAAACAAAATTATATTTATTACACTTCTCAAATAATTTTCTCAAAACAATCTCAAAAGTTTCTCTCTCCTTCAGATATGATGTGACTCCTACAGTAAAATGATTTGATTGCTACATTAAAAAATGTCTTCACTAAAAAACAAAGAAATGTCACTTCATCTTTCAATTTTCTTCTTCTAAAATACTTTTTTTCTAACACATTTAAACATGATGTGACTGCTACAGTATATTTTGGGGGCAATTTTTTTTTTTTGGGGTTGTTTTGTTTTGGAGTTTTTAAAATGGGGTTATTTTTGAAGTAGTAATTAAATTGGTGTTGGCCGCCACCGGGAACGGCGGCATCGGACGGAGACGCCGCCACCAGTGGCGTCTTCTACTTTTTAAATTATTATTTTAATAATTTAATATTTTAATATTTTAATATTTTAATATTTTAATATTTTTTAATATTTTATTATTTTAATATTTTAATATTTTCTTATTTTTTAATATTTTAATATTTTCTGATTTTTAATTTTTTTTTTACAAATAAAACAATTCTAACTACATTTTATTAAATTTATTACATTTTATCAATTAGATTTATTACATTTTATCAATTAGTGTTAAATTAATCAGTGCATATATTTATCTAATCAACACAAAAAAATATGTAGACAAAAACAAAAGGAGTTTTTAGAAAATAAAAGAGTTATATAAAATAAATAGGTCCAATAAAAGAGTTATATAAAATAAATA